CTTACTTACTTACTTACTTACTTACTTACTTACTTACTTACTTACTCACTTACTTACTTACTCACGTACTGACTTACTCACTTACTTAACCAGGCAAGTCCTGTTGAGATCTCAGATCTCTTTTTCAAGGCGGGCCTGAAGGCAGCCTATTGTACAAGTAAAATAATCAACATGCATTATGAGAGATGCAGTCTACGCTAGCTTTAAAGTAGAACATTAAAACATCTTCGTCTCACAGGCCACATAAAATGCTGTGATGGGCCACATTTGGCACGCGGGCCTTGAATTTGACGTGTGCACTAAATTTTCTTCACTTGTTTTGGGAAATTGAAGCCAGCAGGACCCAGTTTATGGAGGCAGCCGTTTTTGGGACCAGAGCCTGCACACACTAGAAATGTGAGACTTTAAGTCCTCTTTACTACCCCACTCATTCATGGATCTATTTGACCTTTCTTTTAAACATAAAAATAATTAATTATAGTTGGATAACAACAACAGCAAAGTAAGATTAATGAGAATCAACAAAAGTCAACACCAGAGGAAAAAAAATGTATGTATATTTTAATTTTGGTAAGGACAATGACCTGGCTGAACTTATTGGTGGACTACCATCCTGTCGGGATACTGTACCCATTCTGTCTTAAACTTCTGGGTTACCATATGGTGTCCAGTATTTCCTTGTGTTGTCTGTTGACCTTCTGCAGTCAAATGTGAGGCCATCTGTCCAACAGCTGAAGCGTTGCCAAAATGAGGTCATGATGTAACAGCACAACGATCCCAAAGACAGCAGCAAATCTACGACAGAATGGTTGAAAAAGAAACGAACGCTTCGCAAGGGTGTTGCGACGGTCCAGCCGAAGCTCAGACCTCCACCTGATTGAAACACTGTGGTGGGACCAAATGTCTGCGAAACCTCGGTGAACTGAAGCCAGGTTGGAACAACGAGTGGGACAAAATTCCTCTACAACCATGTGAGAGAGTCTGTCAGAAAAATGACATGTTAAGTTATTACTGCTAAAGAAGGTTCAACAAACCACTGAATCATGGGGTGAGATTAGTTTTTGAACACATGGATTTTCCATTTTGGTGGAATACTGTGTTTTTGTAAACTTGATGTTAGATTTGAATGAATTTAAAATCTGGCAAAGACCAAGTGACTGATATGTTAAACCTTAAAATTAGTAGAACGTGGACTCTACAGAGGAAGCTGTGTGTACTCATGCTCTCGTCGTTTCGTTCATTACCCATAGTGCCACAGTTCATGTCAACTGGCTGACAGTTGGCAGCTTTGCTTTTAGCTCAGCTCCTTTTTCCTTACGACAAATGTGCCCAGCACCTGTTTCTCTGCAGATGCTTTAGAGAATAAAATTACTTAATTCATAACAAATGCTAGATTTTGATTGATAATCAAAGTTAATATTTAATATCGTGTTTATATTTTCAGAAAAAAAGTTTGTCATATTTATAATCATGGCAAAGCAATGTGATGATTAATGTTATCCACCAGTAGCCTGTGGTTTTGTTATTGTCTTGCAATCAGACGTTCAGAGTGTTTCAGGCCGTTTGAAGATTCTTTCTGATGTGGGAGCTCTGTGCTGATTCTGCGGACTGAACCGAGACATTGTAGTTTAGTTCTGGACCACTGCCTGGAAACTCTCTCTGTGGTTTCCCTCCGTGTGCTTCTGTGCCATGATGATGATGTGTTGAGTCGTCGTTAAATTTTCTTTCTTTCTTGTTTCTCGTTCGTCAGTTCCTCGGAGTGACGTTTCTTGGCATCGGGCTGTGGGCATGGAGTGAAAAGGTGTGTGGTTTTTTTTATATTTTTTTTATCTGCATGCACAAGTTGCATTGAATTGTATAAATCTTTTCAGTCACTAATGTCTGCAACTAGTTAAACTTCTGATGACCTTTAAGCCGACTGTGTGTGACGCCGGAGTGGAATGTCATGTTTTTCCTGTGAGACACCTTCAGGAACAATAGACTGCCCGGATCTGATGTTTTTCACTGATTCATTCACTGTGAGGCTCAGGAAGAGGGCGAGGGGTCCTCCTGACCCTTGATGAAGATCCTCAGTGGATTTCTGTAAAATCTCCGCGGGTCATGTTACGAAATGTCTCAATTATTTATACTTGCCAACATTCTTCCCAAAAGTAGTTTGTTTTTGTGAAGTCACCAAACTTTCATAATAGTTTTGTTTCTAAGATAATCTTTTAAAGGAGACCAGACCATGTTCATTCAATTTAATGCACAAAATAATTCTCAGATAATAAAATTTCCCATTTTCTAGTTCTGCCTGCTCTGACTTCCGTTCAGAAGAGTTGTTTATGTTAATGAGCTCTGTTGGTAACGCCCTCCAAAAATCCGTTGACTTTAACTCCGCCCTCCAAAGCCAGCGTTTACGTTAGCATGGCTAATAGCAGAAGCTCTGTTGTACAACCTGAGTCAGACCTAGAGGCAGAGTCGTGGTTGCAGCTTCTTTTTTTTTCTCTCCCTCCTCTGCTCTGAGCTCACTCTGCATGCTGTTACCAGAGCAGGGAGCAGCAGTGGTCAAAATACCTCAGAAACTCGAACAAATAGGCTTTAACAAGGCTTTAATAAGCTAAACAATAGAGGTACATGAGAAACGTATTCATAACGAATGAAAATAAATAATTAAATAGTGTCCGTGCTGGTCTCAAACCCTGGTATCCCACTCTGTGGTCCAGCACTCTACCCATTGCCCTATTGGAGGCCTGTTGTGAAACAAGCTGCGCATTACACAACAACAACCGTGATGGCTTTTTATACTGAGGAGGTGGAGCCTCACCTGGGGGTTGCTAGGTAAGGGGCCGAATGCAGGTTCCGGTGGGTTTTCGTACGGCTTGTGACATCACAAAATGACGGAAGTATAAAACTTGTCGTTAATATACATTAAAAATACATTTGCTAACAATAAATATGCCCCTGGGTGCATTTCTTTGGTCCTAGGACTGTTTTTTAAAAAGTACATACCCAAAATTGAGTAAAAAAAACTTTAAAAAGTGAATTTTGCATAATAGGTCCCCTTTAAACGTCTTTGGTTCCTCTTTAGGGTGTTCTCTCCAACATCTCGTCCATCACTGACCTGGGGGGTTTTGACCCCGTGTGGCTCTTCCTGGTGGTGGGCGGTGTCATGTTCATCCTCGGTTTTGCTGGTTGCATCGGAGCGCTACGAGAGAACTCTTTCCTGCTGAAGTTTGTACGTTTCCCCCCGCGGGTTCAATTTCCAATTTTTTTTTTTTGTGTCCTGATGATGTGTTCACTTCACAAACCTCTCTGTGTGTTTTTGTGTCGTAGTTCTCCGTGTTCCTGGGGATTATTTTCTTCCTGGAGCTGACCGCAGGAGTTCTAGCGTTTGTGTTCAAGGACTGGATCAAGGATCAGCTCAACTTTTTCATTAACAACAACATTCGGGCCTACAGAGACGACATCGATCTGCAAAACCTGATAGACTTCACCCAGGAATATGTGAGCAACGTGGTTTTTTTTTTTTGTTTGTTTTTTTTTTGCCCTTGAGTTAAATACTGTTGTTCCTTCCTCTGGGATGTTCTTGACTTTAATGCAAGTGTTTGTTTTTTTATGTTTCTTTAACCTTGCAGTGGGAGTGCTGCGGCGCTTTCGGAGCGGACGACTGGAATTTGAACATCTACTTCAACTGCACCGATTCAAACCCAAGTCGTGAGAAATGTGGCGTGCCCTTTTCCTGCTGCACCAAAGATCCAGCAGTATGTCGGCTTTTTCCGCAAACCATTTACTCCCATTCCTGAAGAGAAAAACACTCCAATAATGAGTGTAATTGACTGAGTTTTCTCTTTACGAGTTATGACCATGCACCAGTGTTGCATAAAGTACCACAAAGTGATACTTGAGTAAAAGTAAAAGTATCTTACCAGAATATTACTTTGATAAAAGTTAAAGTCTCCTTTAGGAATATTACTTGAGTAAAAGTCTTAAAGTATCTGATACTTTTTGGACAAATATTAAAAGGAAAAGTATTGATTAGATTTTCTGTAAGGACATTTATTGGGAGTTGACTGCCCCAAAAAATGCAGAAATGACTACATTGTATTAAAATAATTATTTTAAATTTAGGCTGCACTAGTCTAGCTGTTTCAGTTTATATACATAAATCAAGGGTGTCCAAACCTTTTCCCCAAAATGAAAATCTATGAGGGCTGCGGCCAAAGACAATAATATAATTCATGAAATACAAATATTTCTTAAGTACAGTCCTTTTGTTTTAATGATTATGTCCTGCTGGAGTGTGACATGATTTGTTTGTGTACAAACTAATACGGTATCAGAGTTTTATATATTTATACTTCTCATTCAACCACAGTTAAATTAACTCTATCTAGAAGGCACAATTTATATGGATAGTATTTATTTTTTACAACAAGCTGGAATGAAAACAAGCAAAAATGAAATAAAAGTAAAGACTTTTTACTTCTTGCCTTTTTAAAAAATGTAAGGAGTAGAAAGTACAGATAATTGTGTGAAAATGTAAGAAGTAGAAGTAAAAAGTAGGCTGAAAAATAATTACTCAAGTAAAGTACAGATACCTAAAAATTCTCCTTAACAAAGTATTTGTACTTAGTTACTTTACAACTCTGCCATGCACAGGAGTTTTAGTTGTAGAAGTCTTCCTGGTGACAGATAGCCGTGTTATCTGAGTCATCCAGATGTCAGATGTCATGGTCGCAGTCCAACAGGACGTCCAGCCCTCAGTGTTTAGTCCACTCAGACTCTGCCAGCTCTGCAGAGTCTGAAAGCGGATGGGAGGAGACCTTGAGCAAGGCTTTTTCTCTTTTTTTTTTAATTTTGGCAGAAAAGAACTCTTACAGCTGCCCACTGTGCACAGCAGTGACAGCTCTTTGCTGCAGCAAGACTCTTTTTAATGAAAGTTGCTTTATTTGCTGACCTGAGTGCGTGCAGTTCTGCCGAAGTTTCCCTAAATAAAAACCTAATTAAAGAAAGTATAGATGTAGAATTGTTTTGAATAGAAGAAGTTCCCTGCAGTTCAGTTTTGATCCAAGTCATCTCGTGTTTTACATCTTCATCAGCAAAACCCAGAGTGTTTTCAATGGGGTAGAACTGTGGTACAGGTACAATGAAAAAGCTTCAGGTTTTGGCTCCACAGGAAATAAGTAGTTAGTTGGATCAGTTAAGTATGGTGTGGATGATGGAGCGCCATCAAGCTGTTAAATAGCAAACTGCAGCTTGCAGAATATCTCCACCGATACTCAAATTATGGCAGCCTGAAATATAAATAAAGCTTTCGCTGTGGAGTTTTGTTTTGTAGTTTTTGTCTCTTGATCTACCTGCCGATGTTTTCCCTAAACATTATCCTATTATTCCCCTTAAACAACTGATTATACTCCTAAACCTAACCTCGAAAAACCTTTGAAGACATCACTGGGAAAGTTCTGCTTCTATCAGACACACTTGAGTGATTGCTACAATAAATTATAACTACTCTTAATCACAGTCGTGAGTAGATTTGCAATCCTTCTTTCACTGTCTGCATGACAAGAGCTTTACATGAGCCAGCACATAGCATCTTTCTAACAAAGAAAAGTACAGTAGAAACAGGTGACAGGTTAAAAACTAGCATTTCTTGGAGGAAAGGCCTATCACCTGCCGCCTTGCAATCGAAAGTTTTAAACAAAACTCTCACATGATCTGTTACAGTTGGAATAAATGTTGAGGATGACTCACCTCCTGCCTCACCACATTTTTAGTACAATATTTATAAAATTAACTGTTTTCTGAGATCTGTTTGAAAATGGTTTGGATCTGATTGAATTAAATTTTTATGTATGCATTTTATTAAACTAAGGAGTGTTGGATAATGTATTAAAAGTTTTTAGTTTTCTAAAAAAAATTGCTCCTAAACAAGCTAATTGTGTGAATGCTTTATAGCATTCCAATGCTATATAGCTGCTTAGAATGCTTTATAGCATTCACACAATTGAGATAATTTTTTCTTCTGTATATTTTTTGGCTTCTAACTCATTCTACAATTTTTGTGCTATTTCAACAATTCATATAAGAAAACGTTCACCCAAGGGTGCTATGACTTTTGGTATTTCAGATATTTATACTTTTTCAGCTATTTCACTTTTTCGGCCTCTTTTTTCCCCATTGAAAATGGGTGGAGCTGTTTTCATCATCCTTAAAACCCTTCAAAATGTTTCTAAATCTTTACAGCACCTTACACATTTTGTTCTGGTTCTACTCTTTTTCATTTTCTTGTGCTAATTTTAGCTACTTTTTGCTAATTTTAGCTATTTTCTGCTATTTCAGTTAAAATTCTGCTTCTTTCTGCTATTCTTCTGATGTTTTGTGTTTTTTCTGCTAATTTGTGCTATTTATGCTTTTTACACATTTCAGCTCTATTCAGCTACTTTAGCTTTGAGCTTTTAGCCGTTTTCTGTTGTTTTCAACTAGATTTGTGCTAATTTTTACTGTTTTACTGCAAAGTTAGGCTTTTTTCTTTCATCTTTTCAAAGTGAGCTCACATTAACAATCTTGCTATTAACTATATTCAGCTTAATTTMAGCWGCCTTCAGCTTAAGTTTTCAGCATGAAGCATTCACACTAGCATTTTCGCAGGAAATGTAATTTCTCTAGTTAATTATAGTTTTGTTGCAAATACGTCATGATTTTTATTTAAACTCACATATTGCCCCAAAAGTAAGCCCTTCTTGTCATTTATGTTCAAACTGCAGTGATCTTAACACAAGTTAAATCATTCTCTCTTCACAGGAGGACGTTATTAACACTCAGTGTGGATACGACATCCGAGCAAAAACGGTGAGTTGCAAACATTTACCTGCAAATGAGATGGAGATCCTCATCCAACAGGTAACCCTGAATTTAAGTCTGAAGAGCAGAAACTAAGCTGTTCTGGTTTCTTTTTTTTTTTTTTTTTGCCACAGGCGAGTTTGTTTGTCTGGATGAGGTCATGAGTTGCTCCACCCATGGTCACAATATTCCTCTTTCAGTATTTTTTCCCAACTCCTCACTCTTCAAAACACAGCAGCTGGGTCTCCATCAGTACTTAAGGCGGTGTGTGTGGTATTACTCATGCGGCAGCAATGCAGTGCGAATTGCGAGCCCCCCTCCCCCTATCATTAGCTTTGGCAGTTCTCCATGGGAGCCCAGCGTAAGAAGAAGTCTCTGTTTGTTTTCTTGGCTTTACATGTGAGCTAAAGTGAAGCTGTTTTAACAAGAGTCAGAACTGGAAAACAGTGAGCTGACTTCATGTTAACAACTGTGGGATTTTACTGTGGAGGAGGCTGAAAGTTAAAAATAAATCATGTACTTTCATTAAAGGGATACTTCAGATCATTCAAGTTGGGTTCAGAGGAAAGGTCAGGACAAATAAATATCTCACCTGCTGATATAAAACTTAAATCTGGCCTGATTGATGAGCTAATGGCTGGTTTGAGCAGGGCCGAGACACTGTTCTAAATTCTCAAAGTCGAACAGCCGGGAACTTTGTCACATGAACATGTTGTAAACAGAGGCTGACATATTGGTTTGGGGGAACACGATGAGTTCCTCTATGTGGAAAATAGGAAAAATGGTGAAAAGTTGCTGTAGGACTGCACTTCTCACGTAAAAAAAAACAACATCCAGAGATAAAATATATATATTTTTTCTAACTGCAAGAGTGAGGGGAGAGAAATAAGACACGTGTTGTCCTTCTGCCTCTGCAGACCTCCGTGCTTCTCCTTGTTTAAAAAGAATTGCCTCATTGTTTTGATTTAAAACTAAAACTGGCTAAAATGAAGAGTAAACACTGAAAACTACACACTAACTATAAAATCCAAACATGTTAAAAGTCACAGATCTAATTAATAAAGTCCTGGTCTCACTGGCTCTTCGTTGCCACCAATCTCCATTCAAATTTCGTCTCTTTTTATTTTCTTCTTCCTGTACATTTTTTACTGCTTGTCAGATAACTTTGAGCCTCAGTCAAAAAGGAGGTCTGGGGGGTTTTATATATATATTTTTTCGGTTTAAGAGACTGATGATGGACAGCAGTATTTTTTCCCACGAGATTACCATGTTTCCTGCTCCCTTCAGCTGCAGTTTTCCCCCATAAAAAAATGGAGGTTGAAATCACGTGACTGAATGACATCACGCCGACTTCGAGAATGGTTGACGCAATAGTGGGGCCCATGTGGGATTTCTGTGGGCAAACCCACAAAAAGTTGCCCACATGAAAAACAAAAACTCATGGGGCACAAAACGTGCATGTGGGATTTTAGTGGAGTACCCACAGARACACTGCTGTGAGGTCTAGATGAAGTACCATATGAGGGAGACCAAGATTTGGGCTCGACTACAGAAAACCATTTAAAGTCCATTMTTCWTTCCATTTAAAGTTGGTGTTGAGATTAGTAGAGTCCGTGAGGTAAAGTTTTTGGGCATGGTCATTGATGAAAGGCTGACATGGAGAGCTCATTTAAATTGATTAAGAACAAAAATAACTAAATCTGTTGGAGTACTGTATAAGGTAAGGGAGTTATTCAATGATAAAGTTCTGTTTATATTGTATAATACAATAATTGTTCCACACTTGATTTACTGTATGGAAGTCTGGGGTAAAGCATGTAAAACAATCACAATATTTTCATTTTACAGAAAAGAGCAGTAAGAATTATCAGAAAACATTACAGTCACCCATCGAATATATTATTTTGTAAATTAAAATTATTAAAATTTTATGAGTTGGTTGATTATATTTTGCAACTTATAAGGCTCGTAAAAAATGTTACCTTTAAACATCCAGTTATATTTTGCTAAGAGAAAAAGTTCTTATAATCTCAAAGGACTTGAGATGTTTACAAAACCTAAAATTCAAACAAACTTGAAGGACCGATGTACTTCAGTTCAAGGACTAAGACTGTGGAATAATCTGGAAAGCGATTATAAATATGCTGGTTCAATGTATTTCTTTAAGAGAATTATAAAAATAAGTTTGTTAAAGAAATAAGAAATTTTATAATGTAAATCAAAAGTTGCTGTTTGAGAAGGAATTGAAGCYTTTATTTTGTTTTGTTTCTTGATAATTATTGCTTGAAATTAATTATAGAAAAAAGGGGCAGCTATTAAAAGATTTTTTCTTCTTTCTGCCTCCTTTTATTGCAATTTGGATTTGTATATATTTTATTGTGTATATATGTTGTGTATTCTTTTTTGTTTTTAATATGTATAATTTTTTTTGTTTTTTTGTTTTAAATGAAATGAATAAAAACTAAAGTAAATAAATAATAAAAAAAAAMYCTTAGTGGGATTCAAAAGAACACAACTGCTTTGGTACCAAACTGGGTAACCTGCAGATTTYGTTAGTGGGCAAASCTTCATCTATCCAACTATTGTACTTCTGTACCCTATGCTTCCTCATCATTACCATCATCAATAGACTTAGCTTATTRCTGTGGGGCAGTACAAAAATTTACCAACCACCTTGGCAGATTCTCTTCATGATGGCTGCATCTGCCCGTTGAAGAGGGTACCGTCCCTATTTGCTGCTTCCTTCAGCTTTTCCTTGGAGAATCATGTTTGGTAGAGTTCCCTGTAATAAACATACTAATAATATACCAATAAATAAAGTTAAATCTCAAAGAGTTAAAAATGAATAATCACAAAAAATAAAACATTGATATTAAAGTTATAAGTAGTGCTCAGATGAACCACTTTTGTGAGTAGGGAGTTGCTGCTAAAGGGTAACTTTCTTATCAAGACTTGGCAAGAAAAATGTCTGTTTTTGAAAGTAAAACTTCAAACGACACACGTGTTWGACTAATTATGGTTTGACTTGTGAATGTCTTGTCAGGATGCCGAGCAGAGAACCTACATCTACATAAAAGGCTGCGTCCCTCAGTTTGAGAAGTGGCTTCAAGACAACCTGACCGTGGTGGCCGGCATCTTTATTGGAATAGCATTATTGCAGGTGGGGTRAATAGTATTTGTTATTTCACATATGATCTCTTTAAATGTTTTATTCTACGCTGACATTTGCACTCGTCCGCTTTTAGATCTTTGGCATCTGTTTAGCTCAAAATCTTGTGAGTGACATTGAGGCTGTGAGAGAAAGTTGGTGAGCAAAACATTTGCTTTCTATTTTGAGTACCACAATTTCACAACTTTGTTGCACCAATTTATAAATCTACTGTTTTTTGCAGTTTGTTTTCCTAAGGCCTACACAGAGATTTTAAAGGCAAGCGTGTATCAGGTACATGTTGAGTCATTTTATTAATCACACCAAAGGATCTTTATTTTAAATTTTTTGTAGTAGTAACACTTCTTTTCTCTCCACAGGACTCCAGCAGCTTAAGGAAGATTTATCAGATCAGTAGAGTTTCCAGCATCTCATCCATATGTAAATAGTAAATTAAGAACTGAGTTCAGAGTTATTCAAGGGAAATGTGACCTTTGAAAAATGGTGTACCTTCGATGCAGCATAAACACATTCATCTCAGTGCAGCAAGTCTGACACTAAAGGAGGAACTGAGGAGGGGAATGACTCGTGCAGAGGAGAAACAAAGTGAGAATGAAGGTTTTCTCTGAGGCAGTGTTTCATTTTTTTTAATGGAATTTCATTTTTAGAAGTTAGAAGAGTTGAAGTTCTGGAAATGCACTGCACGCCTTTGGTCCGCTGTAGGACATCGGCTCGCCTAAAGGTTTCCGATTCAGTATTTCGAGATGTTAAACAGTTTCCTGTCAGCTGGATAGTAAGCACTTTGTTAAATGAAGAGTCCCTGAAGGAATGCATATCGCTCGCCACCTTGCRTKCCAGAGTTTTAACAACAAGATCTTGTTCAATGCTCAGAGTGTTKGGGACGTCTCTCGGCTAAGGTAGATTAACTGTGACTGCCATCTTGATTCGGGTTGACCCCAAAAGTTAATAATTTGTAGATGTCCATACGTTAATTACTTTATGGGAGTTTTATTAAATTCAGCCCAGTGGTTCGTGAGACATACAAACGGGAGATTACATGATTACTTGGCCTTCATGGTGGTGAGCGATGTTATTTTATGAAATCTTCTCAAAGCTACTGAGACTTCAGTGTAGACTGAATTGTGAGAAGATCCCACTCGTACAGATACAGAACTCATGAGAAGACTTTACCAGGGCCGAGACACGATGGATGTGTTCAACTTTGTAAAGTCAGTTTGCAATGAGGTCAAAAAAAAAAAAAAGAAATCAGCCTGATGCACTTTAATCTTAATAGAAGTGATGAAGCTCCTTCCTGCCCATGAAAGACTGTTTTTTTTTCTTCTTTCATTTATTTTAACAGAAATCACTGAAGGGAGCACTTCTCATTAAAAAAAAAAAAAAAACTTATTGACCCTAAAAAAAGCTTAGCAGAAAAAAGTCTTTCAGCATGTTTAGAATGCGGTGCTGTGTGTTTTGCACATTTTGTCCAAAGTGTTCTTTTCATCCCTTTAATTTAACTTAGACATGTTTTCTTTTGATTATTCCTGCTTGCGATTAGACACCTTAGGTTCGACATTTTTTGGCTGTTGCTCATCTGTAAAAGTTTTCCACTCAGTTTTTCCAAGAGTCAAACCTACCTGCTGATTCCTTTTAGTGACCCTTAACTCGGTGTGGATCTGATTGACAGTTCACTGACAGGCAAACCCTCTGCTTCTCTGATGGACTGAATCTGAACATCCTCAGACAGGCCTTTGTCCTCTTTACAGAATCAGACATAGCGTCACACCTAGCCATCTGTTTTCTCCATTACCAGCTTCTGATTGTCAGTGTTTGCTGATCACACACTTTTCTCTCCACCTAGTGCCATATTAGTGAGTTCTACACACCTGACTGTAACTATGCTTTATTTGTGCTTCTAATTCTTGTAAATAATGACAGTCAAAATAAAATGTAAGTGCACCTTCTTTCACGTCTGTTTTACCACAAATTTAAAAAAATTCATAAATAAAAAACAAGAACTACTTATTGCAAAGTCCCAGCAGCAAATTCACTCAGTTTTCACTGAAAAGTCTCTTCTGTGATAATACATTTGTTTGCTTTTGTCTTATTTGTTTACTCTCTTTATTTGTTTACCTTCTACAGCCAGCCTAAAGTAGGTCAGTCATTTCAACCTGGAGAGACTCACAGACTGAAATTAGGAGCTCTGTGAGATGATGTAAGCTCAGATGAGCTGCTTGAGATGAGGGGTAGGAGTATTTTCTCCCTCCCGGGGCCTGAAACTGGTGRTRGAGGTCAAAGGTGATAGAAGTCCTTGGAAGCCAGAAGTTGGAGGAGGGGAGATGGAAGGTTGACGTTCAGCTGGCGAGCAGCCGGAGTGATTGGAGAGGACGCTTTTATCCACTGACTATCAGATGCTGATTGGATGCAGSTGAGCTTGTGACGCAGAGGCAGGATGGAGCAGGTGAGGTTAATAAGTCTTCCAGAGGTGAATTTTTCAAGTAGGGGTCTCTGCGGACGAGTGCAGACAAGTGGGCGTGTCACAAGGAAAGGCGATTCTAAAGCRACACACCTGATTTGACGGACTTTGTTAAAGGGACACACCTGACTGGACAAGCAAAAAGGGGCGATACCGTATGGCACCACTTTTTCTGGAGAACCCTACTTGAGTCACATTTCTCCTGGTTAACCTTAGTGTTGGGGTCAGGGTCAGGCTGTAAAGAGGTCAAGCAGGATCTAAGGATACTGTCATGTAGGCCTCATAGCCCACAGTGTTTATGCTTTTGACACTCCCACTCTTGTGACACGCCCACTTTTATTCTGCAGATAACCCCTTCTCGAATTTTTGTCTAAAACTCCATGTGACTCAAGCCTCCACATAGTATTCCACAGATTCAGTCAAGTGTTTTATTTACATGGAGAGCATACCTGCATTTCAGAATTGCATATTTGGAAAACTACTGGAGTAAACTCAAACTGCACGATTTGGTATGGTTCAGAATAACCTTTTTTATGTTTGATTTCATAAGTTGCAATACAGCATCATGTGGGAAAAAAGTAGTAGCAGTAAGCTTACRCAGTTCCTCCTTAGACATAAGGTGTATGTACTTTAACAAACAAAATCTACCAAGTTTCTTGTTCTGAAAAATGGGTTTCCAGTCAGAAGTTTTATCTAAGTTTGTTTAAGTCTACTTTGAATGTAAAAGGCTTGATTGGTAGCAAACAACTCCCAASCAATTAAGTAAAATAAATAAACTTTTTAATAGTTTATCTGCATCTAGGGTCATATAATGGCTGCAGGTGTGTTATTAATAAACAATGCAAATCCGATTATCAGAGAAAATTAAGGAGGATGAATACAATAACAAACTGAAACAGAAGCTGGAACAAAAAATTAATCAAAYCAAATTCCATATAAAATAAACTCTTGCACAGGTAAAGATAAAACRTAAAACCAGGTGTAGTACAAAACAAACTAAAACTTAATGACTGATCGATTTAAGTGTAATATTTTGCTGATTTTACAAGGCTTCGATGAAAACTCATTTTCTGTTAAACCTTGTTTTCATCCAAAGAAAAACACTTGTTCCAGTAACAGTTATCACAGAAAGGTACTAATAAAACTATCTGCAGTGTTACTGTCAGCTGTTTAAAATTCAAGTGTGAAGATGAAAATCTGAGGACAAGCTGTGTTTTSTTGAAATAGTCTGGCAGTGAGAGTTAAAGCATTATTCACCTCTGCCATCTAGTGTTTGTAACAAATATTGCTGAGGATAAAAATGGGTAAGGACATTGCTGCCTCTGTCACTTCTTTTATCTTCACTTGTCAAACTGGTTGAAGAATAGTCAAGAGGAAAATCACACAGATTTATTTTTTTAATTAACAGTCTTTTAAAAGAACTGTAGAAAAACCTTGTTTACTATAAGTCCATGTTCTTTTCCTTCAGCAAATCACAGCTAATTAGCAGCTGAGATACTGAACCCTGATAAAAACTTATCTGTGTGCTGTGTTATCAGGGACTGATTGTAAACTCAGGCTCCGACCTTTGGACAGATGCCTCAGTGTTATGTCTAACACCGATGTAATCATGCTCTCTTCTCCATGATGTTCACTAAGATTTGACTTATACACAAATTTTGTTGTCCYCGTCGCAGAGTGAAGAGAGGACTTGGAAATATCATCTAATTGTTTGTCTTGTGAGCTGGATAACTTGGAAAAATAAATAGCATATATTGACTTCCATTTTGGTGTGTGGGTGCATCTAGGCATAAGAAAGGTCCCTATAAAAAACTGAGTTGCCATGTCAAAAAAATAAAATTTTCTATTGTATATAGTTATTTTGTTTTTTTTAATGAAATGAATAAAGTATCAAWCAAGTGAAAATCCAAGATGGCCACCACAGTATACATATGTAAACCTGCCACCCTAATTATTTAACTATGCTTTCTAGGATTTAGATTGCATAAAATTTTAGTTTCCTTAAATGATTGGGGTGGCCGAAGATTAACCTATGGTGGGCAAGGCCACCATTGGCCACCCGCTGGCTCTGCCACTGCACCTGTGACTCCCCCTGACCAATTCAGAGGAAGAACACCATCACAAACAAACAGTGACACCTGCTGGCTGCTTTGTGGAATTAACACATGCTCTGGTTTTCTCTACAATAAATGGTTTCTATTTTAGCTTCTTTAAAAAATTAGACATGAGTGCTGCTCATTGTGAGAAAACTTTGCTTAAAATCCTTACTTGTTTGTTGGCAAATTATCTCACAAACCACTTGGCAGTTTTCATTGAAATGTTTAGGAAGTAATCTTTGAATGTACAATTACTATCATGGAGTCAGTYTAATTCAAGATGGCCACCACAGCTAATTAACTTAAGCCAGTCAGTTTTACAGATGCTGAGCTGAAATTAGACAAGAAGTAAAATGATCTTAATCTAAAACTCTAACAATACACACTTCTAAAAGAAAAAGCTGGGTGGTTAATTGAGGATTCAACAAACTTTCTCACATTGTCTACAGCTAAAAAAAGCAACATGTTGGGAAACTATTCCATTAAGGTTTACAAACTGGACCACAACTGAAGAGAGTGAAACCTTGATGTAATCTGAGCTTTGGGGGTTTCTCCAACAGGACTGCCCATTTCCTCCAACACGATGACAAAGTGCCGACTGTTCATCTCCAGAAGAAATTAGGTGAAAGGTGTCTGACGGTAAATATAACACTCTTATTTTATTATCTTCATATAATTTATCTTTTTTTTTATCACGGGGGCCAACTGTTGCTGTCCTTTGAGATTTGTGTCACATTTTTTAATAGTCTATGAACTCATAGGCCTTCCTCTCATGATAGACTGAATCAGTCAGATTATCCCATTGATTAATCAATCACACTTCCATGCGCAGACTCAGACACAGCCTCACTTTAAAAGCTGTAGCAAAATTTCCCTGTCAAATCTGTCTCTGCTCAGGTTAATGATTTGCGGGTTATCTCGTACTTAGTACTCGAGCGTGGAGTTTGGAGTCTGCCCTCCCCTCAGACAAAATCTGACAGGACTGGACTTGCTTTGCCTTTCTTTTTTGGCCCTTTGGTGCCACTTCAGCCGCTGACTCTGCTGTGCGGGTTTGAATCATCTGGCTGCAGAGAGAGGACACACAATGTTGGCTCTGGTGGTCTTYTTGCTTTGTGCAGCCTCCACGGTGTCCGCATCTACCAAAGGTGAGTCACTGGGTGGTTGTGACCTTTTCTTTTGTATATGYCGGAGGACATGAATGAATGAAATGAAGGTTGAGTGAGCTCTATAAGGTTAGGAGGTCATCCTTTTTCAGTAAAATATGAAGTGTTCATTGTCAGCTCGGATATTTGAGACTTCTTGTGGTTTATTTTTAAAGGAGACACTCAGATCYTCCTAAGTGCTTTGTAATCTTAAGTTTTGTTAGTAAAGCTTTTAAGTTTAAAAAAAAGAATGAATGGATGAATCTTGGGTGGAACTACCACCATATTTTAGTGCGTTTAGGTGACATCACCCACTGATAAGAARTAATAAAGCTTAAGTTAAGAGGCACTTATGTGAAAATAAAAACATAATTGCTTTCTCTGGTATTTTCCTTCTCATATATCTAAAATATTTAGATTTTTTTTGCAACAATTGATTCTGATTTTTTTTTAAATCAAAATAAGCTCAGGCGACCYGATGATGAAATCCAAAACTGACACGTCAGTGTGTGTCTTTCCTCGTGGCCAAATGTCATCTATCAGGAGGATGGTCATTAATAGAGCAGAGGAGCGATAACAGTCTGTTCTTACCTGGAACACACCCAGTTCAGCAGMAGATGACTGAATCAGTTCAGCTTTCTGTTCACTTCTGCAGATGGGAAAAAAAAAGACACTGACAGAGCGTCGAGTACTTTTGGATGGAAACCTTCCTTTGAAAGAAAAAGATTACTATTAAGAATTTAACAAGATATTGATCTTTTCCCCGACAGCTGTTTAGTTGTCTACATAAAGCTGATAGTTCTGTCATAGCTCTGTCTCGATCTGGTGTTTATCAGCTCTGTTTCCTTTGTTTCTTCAGGTGTTGCTGCAGGACCCCGACTGAACAACAACCAGCTGTACAAATTCAGTTACACCACAGACGTCCTGTTGGCCAAGGCCCGAGGGTCCAGAGAGGGCGGCGCCGGCTACAGAATCTCAACTGATGTGAATGTTAACCTAGTGTGGAGAGATCCGGGCAACAAGGATGACCAGCTGATTCAACTAGTGGTATGTTGGTCCAAAACATAAACGGAGAGGACATGAGAAAATGAAGAGGCGCATTACGTTTGTCACTCCTGGTACATTTAGTCTTTAGAATTCCGTTCTTAGTTTTTTTGTAGTTTCTGTTCTCAATAAGGGTTTGATTTTATTTCCCCCAACAGATCTCAAATGCGAGGATTGAGTCTGTGCCTCCGAGATYACAGAAGAAGAACGTCCTCCATGGGACCACAACAGAAAGCATCTTGGGGAAAACCAACCTGGCAGCTCTGACAAAGCCCTTCCTGGTGCATCTGAAAAAAGGAAAGGTGAGAACATTGACAACGTGTTGCTGTGGTATAATGGAAGGACAGCAAGTGGTCCTCGGGGGAATCTTTGCACAGCATTGAAGCGATGATGCTGGCAGCGGAAACACTATAAAARTGTGCGTATGCGTTCATGCAAAGGTCAGCGAGTGCAGCGGGTCAATGTCTGAATAAATGAATGAGTCAGATTACTACGGGAGATTAATGGAAAAAAAAACTGTCAAGATACAGTATTAACTCTGTGGAGGTTGAAAGCTATGAATCTAAAACTTTGACCCAAGGGCAGCAAGAAGGTTAACCCTAGTTTTGGACCAAAAAAAAAAACACCTTTCTGACAAGCTTGTTAACTAAAGTAATGCTACCTACAATCACTTTCACTAAACTCATGTAAGCTAAAAGACTTGTGGCTACTAGGTGAACAGGTAACATGTAGCTAATGAGACTTGTTACCATTTATGACAATGAAATGACACTAAAATAAATGAAATTAAAACTGTGAACTAAAAATGTCAGCAAGGTTTTTATTCCCTGTGTTTTATAAAACAAAAATATCCCTCATAATTTCACTACTTGAGTCATAGACCATGTGGTAAAAGTGTTAAACCATGTTTTAAGGATTTTTTAAATGTAAACAATACATTTTGCTTTTATGGTACAAAAATAACTTTCCCACATCACTTTAAAAAGCTTATTTGACTTTGATAATTGTGACTCGTGTGAGCTGCAATACCTGGTTTCTGTTTTAACGTGTTTATTTCTATTATTACACACCTGATGTAGACGAAGGCCTTTTACTCGTACTGGGCAGAACCTGAAACTATCAAGAATCTGAAAAGAGGCCTTGTCAGTTTGTTACAGTTTCAGCTCCACACTGGCAAGGTTGTTGAGGTAAGTACTATGATGATTCTTCTATATTGAAATATGTTACCTCTATCAGATTTAAAATGTAAAACAAACTATGTTTGTAAACAGAATGATGTGTCTGGGAGATGCTCAGTTCAGTATAAAGCAACTCAAGGTCAAATAATAAGAACCAAGCACCTGGAGACATGCAAGACTTCAGACAGTGGATTTACCACACATAGTAAGGTCAGTCAAACTTKGACAATCTAAGTGATGAACCTTTGTGAGTGGGTCACTCAGTTTGTCTGTCTTTCCCTCCCATCCAGGTGTTGGGTGTGAGCAAGAAGTCCAGCTCTGTTACAGTGTTTAAACTCAAAGATGGCTTCATCCAATCAGCCGAGGCCGAAGAAACACACAGCCTGGCTGTGAATTCTCGCAGATCTGCTGCAGCTAAAGTTGTGTCCAGGTAAGAGACCATGGTGATTCAGTCAGTGATGATCATCTGTGGACATAAATAATCCATATTTTTTTTTACCTGTTTTCAACTGTCTGAAAATTAAAATTGTGTTTTAAAATAATCAGAATTAGTTCAATTTTTGTAGCAGAAGAAGGTTTTTCAGGCCCTTTTTGTGCCTCAAGCTTAGATCTAACAGAGCTGATCTTCTTGCTCAAAGCAAAATATATAAAAAAATCTGCCCATTTTCACATGAAGGTGGACTTAATATGTACTTATGATGCAATTTTTTGTACTTTCTGACTCACCTAAACTAAAAGCTGTTTTAATATTTGAAGACATTAAAAAAAATCTGTTGCAATTGGCGAAACACAGTGTTTTTGAAACACAGTGAGATACTGTTTTACGTGATGTTAGGGAAGATATTCTGCACTTTGTGCCAGCACATACTACATTGTTATATCCTACATAATTGACCTTATATRTGTATTTATTTTTTTCCCCAGGCAAACCCTTGTGTTGACTGGTACAGAGGCGGGACCATTCGAGGCTGCTGGGAAAGATGTTGCTGGAGTTGTCAAGTCAATTGATGGCAAACTGGCAGCTGTTGGTATTGTTGCTGAAAAGGTCAAATCCCAGTGCAAAGGCTGTCCATCAGTGAGTCCCTATTCATTTTCACTTTTGAGCTCAGGCATAGGGTTGTTTTTACTGCTTAGTGGGAACAGTTTACACATTGTACAATCACGTGGTAATAAAGCAAAACCCTAATACTAACCCTACACCCCAAATAAACACCTTTTTTAACCTCTGTGCCCTCTGATTTTTCCTGCTCTTCACGTATTGATTTTAAACTAAAAAGTGACAGCATCTAATTGGCAAGTTTTAGAAAAAAATACCTAACAAGTGCAAAATAATTGCATTCTTCCTTCCTCTGACTGTGCAAAAGGGTGTTTATGAGCTGGACAAGTCATTACGATAAAATGACTCTTAATAGGCCTGCATTAGTAACCAGATACTGTATATTTTTGTACTTTAATTACTGACTGAAGATGATCTGTCCTCTAATCCTCCATRTGTCCACCCCTCTTAGCTTCTTGAACATTGGCAGGCTGTACAGAAGCAGCTGGAGCCAGCGAGCCTGTCCAAAGCCACGGCTCCTCGCARCTTCCTGGCCCTCCTCCAGAGCATTAGGAAGGCGTCCAAGGACGAGATCCTCAAAGTGCTGAAAAGTGCCAGCAAGACATCTCTGTAAACCAGCTCCTCTTTCTTTWACATATTTGATGTCTTTGCTTTCGACTTGTGTGTTGTATCGCTAAGAAAATATGTGACTAACTATGTTGCACGTGTCAGGATTTGGTGCTTTTTGCTTCTCTTATTTTGTTTAACAATCTCCTGCTGATGTCAGACCTCAGGTGGTGGACGCTGTGACTTCTTCTCAAACCCCCGCGTCTCTGGATGCTATGCTTGAGTTCCTTAATTTCACCGAAACCAAGAGTTTGGTTCTGCAGGAGAGGTTCCTCTATGCGTGTGGTTTTGCCTCGCATCCCAACGAGAGGATGCTGCAGGCGCTGCTGGTAGGTACCACAGGAAGCAAAGTGTTTTACACTCAAGCACCAGCTCATTACGACAATGTGGCGGAGAAACAACAAACCAATCATATGAACATAAGACTTAATAAACCACTCAGAAATGAATCACAGGAAGAAGATCTACGACTGATTAACTTTTTGAGTCAGCTTGATTAGTAAACACAAATAGAGCTATAACATAGTCCTTTTTAAAGATCTTGAGCTAAAGTCTAGCTCAGACTCATCTCCATCAAACTTTGAGTGCTAACAAATTGTGAGATCCTAGTTTAAAACATGCAAAGTGGTTTTTGATGTGCAGTCTTTCAAGAAATGCATGTTTCATTTAAGTTTTAATAAGTCGCATGGAAAATGTTTGTATTTTCAGGATATTTATGAAGGAAAAATTGGCAGCAAAGACATCAAAGAATCATTGGTGATCATCATGGGAGCTTTGGTCCACAAGCTGTGTCTGAAAGGAGGCTGCAATTTGCCAGTGAGTTTTCAAAAAAAACATAAAGAATGACAAGTTACAACCCAATATTCAACATTTAAAGATTAACATATTAAACGTTTTAAAGGCCACAAAGTGGGATTTTTTTAAGCTGTGAAATCAAACACTGTCAGTCAAACGATCTTTTACCTGTTTACCCCTCAGTCAGTGATGCTGGTGAAAAAGATGATCTTAGAAGGTCCTGATAGCACAAAAGATGAGTCAGAAGTCCAGATGTACCTTCTGGCCCTGAAGAACTCCCTGCTGCCTGAGGCCATTCCCATCTTAAACAGATTTGCTGAGTCAGAGGTGGGGTCTTACAGCACCATCGCCCTGACTGCCCTGCAGAGATATGATGTCAGTCTCATAAACAACGAGGTAAATCACAGCGTATACCACACTCCACGGGACTTTACTGCTCTTTTGTAGAATCCAGACTGACACCCAAGATTCTCTTTCAGGTTAAACAGACAGTGAACAGGGTTTACCACCAGAATCTACGGATCTACGAGAAGAATGTGAGAGCTGCTGCGGCCGACGTCATCCTCAGCAGCAACCCCTCGTACATGGAGGTGAAAAATCTGCTCCTGTCCATCGGAAACCTGCCACATGAAATGAACAAGTACATGCTGTCGAAGATCCAGGACGTACTTCGCTTTGAAATGCCRGCCAGGTGTGTTGAATAGTGACAAAGTGTGCAACAAAACAAAGCACTAAGTTGATGACACGATGACGTGACGTCAGTCTCTGCGTTTTCACAGCAAGGTTATCCGACAAGCTCTGAAGGACATGATTTCCCACAACTACAACCGCTTTGCTAAAGTTGGGTCATCGTCTGCCTTCTCAGGATTTATGGCACGTGAGTAAAATGACAACAAATATAAGCACATTTCTTTAAAACCTCTTATACATTTTTCTGTTTTGTATTCATTGTTTTTAACTGCTCTTGTTTTTATTGGAAAGTGCACCTAAAAGAGCTGCAGTGTTAGACATTTTGCAATTTGCACTAAAACGTATCACTTACCTTCCTCTTAAAGGACAGGACAGCTAGGTTATAGTTACATATTTGACATGACATATTTCATTCAAATAAAACTAAATGRTCTTTAATGTTTGTTTGAGAGGTGAATGAAAAAGAAAGAGAACTCTTGTCCACAGAATCGGCTGATCTGACCTCCACATACAGTTTGGACATCCTGTACTCAGGCTCTGGGATCCTGAGAAGAAGCAACATGAATATTTATGGTTCTAGTAATGGAGCAATGCTGCACGGACTGCAGGTACTTTCCACGAAGAATCAAAAAAATCATGTTTTCATACAGGTTTTATGAAATATGTCTTYTGATATGTATATGATAAATATATTTTTTCTTTTCCAGGTGGCGATTGAGGCCCAGGGTCTGGAGTCTCTGATTGCTGCGACGCCGGATGAAGGAGAGGAAGACCTGGAGTCGTTCGCCGGTATGTCCGCTCTGCTGTTTGATGTCCAGCTGCGACCCGTCACATTCTTCAAGGGTTACAGTGACCTGATGTCCAAAATGTTCTCCATGACTGGCGACCCCATAAATGTGGTGAAGGGACTGATCCTTCTCACTGATCACTCTGAGGTAAGCAGTTTGTGTCACGCCAGTTGCAAAGTAGCTCGAAAGAAGTGTCAAATCRCCTTAAAAACACATATTTTGAAGCATTATACTTGCAATTAGAGTGGGCAAATAAAAAAACATTACTTTGTCATGTTTGGCTAAACAAATTCATTGCAGTTATCAAATATATTATTTATTAACATGCATGGTTTTGGTATGTGGGAGGACATGAGAAAAAAACATGTAAGCACGAGGAGAACATGCAGACTAACCCTAACTCTAACCCCAACTAGGGATCAAACCACCTTCTTACTGTGATGCATGATAGCCAACCATTGAACCATTTACTGTCAAATGTAAACAATGGGCCTCATGCAAAAACCGTTCATACACACAGATTTGTTCTTAAGTTGTGCGTACGAGTGATTTAGGAGAATTTGTGGCATTCACCAATGTTTTCATATTCTAAGATTTTTTTCAGATTTGAACAAAATTCACGAGTGGTCCAGACCTGTCGTATATTTTACGAGCAGTCAGTCTGCTGTTATCCAGACAGATTTTCTTCATTAATAGCTTTATATTTCGTTAGTTTGAAGATATTTCGAGTTGAAAATAAATCACACTCTATAATTATATTGACAAGAGGCTATTCTGTTTGAATTAGAATTTTAAATGTAATAATTTAAAACAACATACATTGGTTAAATTAAAATAAATTGGCTATTAATTTAGTCGTATAGCACTACAATATTAATATGAAGTTAACTGAAGTTTTGAGACATTTTAAAATGCTTTTTTTTTCAGAAACCCATCTGACACTTGAGACGGTTGGGGTGTGTGTGTGTGTGTGTGTGTGT